TCCGCAGTCTTTCATGGGGCGCGTGAGCCTGGTCGCGCAGCACGTGCGTACTCATGCGCCTGGCTCGGCACCGGAGCCATACTTGCCAACGCAGACATGGGCGCTCTGTGATAGAGCCAAGTGTGGATCCTATGATATGTCTGTTTGTGCACTTTCGAGGCTCCTGATATGTAGCGGGCACGCGTTGTCAAAACCCCTCCACAGGAGGACCGTCTCTTTGGGCCATCATTGGCTCGATTCGCCATCCCTGCAGGCGTATGCGTACGTCAGGGTGGGTGACGTTTCACTTGCTCGTCCATATACAAAATGCGTGGTGTTCCTTTGTCAAATTCCCGAAGTAGCGAAACGATTTATTTGTAATTCTGGTGTCGTGAGTGTGCCGATCACTTTTGAGAAATCGTTCAAGTTTGCCAGGTATGTTGTAAGACTGTTCAAACCCTGGCGGTCGTACTTCACCGCGCGCAAAGCATGCGACTGCTTCGTTGGGATATGTTCGTTTTGGGGGTGGTTGCGTTTTTTTCCTAGCCGCCCAGGTTCAGTGCGCGTTTCGGCTCACCGACATCACGTGCGCACCTTGGAGCTCTGATTCGCATTAAGAAAGAGTTGCGCTACGCAGCGCATGGCCGAGGCATGATATTTTGAATGATAAACGCCCGTGCCAGCGCAGACGCGTCGCTCTGGCCGGCCACTGTTGGTCACGCCATTCGAAGGCAGCGCGTGGATTTCATGCGCCGTCGACGTTCCCCGATGACTGTCCTTGGGCCGTGCTCCTTATCTTGCGTCGTTCTTTCTGCCGGCCCGTCGTCGCGACTTCTGCCCGCGCTGGCGCTTTCGTTTATGTTCGTCCCCGAAGCGCTTGACTGGTGCAGTGGTTTCCAAAACGTCTCGATTTAGTTGTCTCTCCGCATGCCCCTGGGACCGCGACCCGGTCTTGCGAGAGCGACGCTCTCAGGAAGGATCTCATTCGCTCCCTGTGTTTGCGCACTTCCGCCTTCTTTGAAAAAAGGCATGGTTTGGTAGGGGTCGGTTTGGCCGCGCCCGATGCGCGACCTGCCCCGCAAGACCGGAGGTGTGGATCAGCTCGAAGCGCGCGGTTCGATCTCGGAGGTGTACGTTCAGAAGGTTCACCTCGACGACCTGGCCGACCGGAGGAGCCGAGTCGGAGTCGGGGTGGATCCGCGGCTCCTGGGCGCGTGCCAGATCCCTGCTGGCGGGCAGTTCTTGCAGACCAAGGGGGCCGAAGGCAAGCTCGAGGACACCGAGTGCGGGGACTTTCCTGTCGCTGACTTTCGTGCTGTCAGAGAGCACCCAGGCGACATCCTCGTGGCGACCGACGGATTGTTCGACATCAATCGTCAGAACTGGTGCGTTGCGGCGGGGGCCCCGCCGAACGGCGGGATCGGTTATGACAGCCGCGCTGTCCTGGAGAAGCTTCAGTTCAGTCTCGCGCTTGATCAGTTCATCCTGGCAAACTCGGAGATGGGTGAGCGGCTCATCAGGCGGCTCGCCCAGGAGGGGCTCGCAGTGGAGAAGGGCTCGGATCGCCTGGACTACAGTGGGTTCGGGCACATCCCGGCTGTCTCGACCGAGGGCGAAGGAGGAGCTGCTGTGTCTGAGTTCGCGAAGTGGATCGCCGAGAAGCGGCCCCCGCGGGCCTTCGCCCTCCAGCAGTCGCGCTTGTTTCGCGGGAAGAGGGTGGTCGACGAGAAGAGGCGAGGCTCCGGGGGCTTCGAAGGGAGGTTCCAGTGGACGCAAGGCTGACGCCATCGACGGCGGCAGATGCCCGGGGGGCTACAGCTCCTCCGATGGTTCCGACACGTCTACTCCCACCACTTCTGTCTCAACCTCGCGTAAGCTGACGACCTGCTGCTTGGGCTTCGGAATGCTCCCCAGGAGCTTGGGCCGATCCTCGCGCTGCTAACTTGAAATTGAATTTCGCCAAGAGTCAAACCGTAGGTTGCGGTGACATTTATTCGAACATCCTGAAGAAGGTTCTGAAACATTGCGGGGACCCTGCGGATTAACTCTGCACCAAGTCTCGGTGGACTCATTTGCGGTATCTTGGTATCCCTTCCGGGCCAGATGGGCGCCTCCATGTTTGGGATTCGGTGCTTCCCAAATTTCGGAATCGAGTTCGCTGCGCGCTTGCCCGCGGGCTTAGTCCGGCACTTAACGCGTTTTCTTGTCGAGTCACTTGCGCATCGTGTCTTCAGGTCAGACTTCAGCTGCACCCCGCCAGTCGTGAACTGAAGCTGCTTCAAGTAAGGTGCATCGCTCCTCGCGGCGGGGCCCAGACATACCATCTCCTACGAGATTGACACCCAGCTGCGCGCGATCGGCTTGGGCGCCGAGCGCCTCGACGTGAACGCAGTCTCTACTGCGACGATCACGCGATTTGCTCTCCGCTCGTCTGTTCCCGAACAATCGTTTGCGCAGCTAGAAAAAGCCCGGACCGATATGCGCCGCCATAGGGGCTGGCACTCTGTTTCATTCATCTCCCATATTCGGAGGCCTTTGGTTTGGACTTTTTCTATTGAGCCGCCCATTGACACCCGGGAAAAACAACTCCAGACCCAATTCGACCGCGCTGCCCGTCGACGGGACGGCTATGAAGGTGCGAGAGAGATTCTTCTTAGGCGTGCCCAGAAGATGAGCTCTGCGGCTTCTGCTGAGTACATTGCGGTCTTTTGCAGGAACCTGCGGGGGGTGGCGAAAGACACCTCGATGCAACTGTCTTTTGCCCCCCTCCGCCTCCTCGCGAACTCTGTTGACCCGTCCTCGCGCTTCCACACTGAACCCCGTGGTTGTCGATTTGGTTATGTTCAGGAAAGGAATCTTGATTTTGACGATGTGTACCACTACTGTCATTGCCTTCGTTTCCAAGATTTGGAAATCGGATTTGAATTGGTTTAGAATGTCGAACGCTAGTGGGCCCTCTGGGCAACCTTACTGGTTTTGTCTCCTCCTCTTCCCTGCGCCTCGTGAAGCCTTACTGCTGCGTGCTGCATGTTGCGATGCCTTTTTGTGTGTGCTGAACGGTTGTCGATTGGGGGCAGATGGATCCCGAGCTCTGCATTTCGAAGCGCGCCTGAGGTGCTCTCACGGCGCCACCGTCCTGTGTCCGCGGGCTGGCTTGTGCGACCGTCGGCCTTTGTGAGAAGGCTCGCGATGCGTGCCGCGTCACGAGCTGACTTCACAGACGTGGATGTGTTTCCAAGAGCCCCTGGGTCCCCCCGAGGCCGCTGGGAGCCCCTCGGTACTCCGACCAACGTCGGCCTGAACACATCAACTGGGGCGGTTGGACAACATCCATCTGGGGCATCGACCATGGTGGTCCCGAGCTGGGAGGATGTGTGTTTGTTCATGGTTTCAGGCCACCCAAGCATATTATCGAACATGGATGTCCCGAGCTGGAACCGTGTGTTTTGGTAGGTACCCGCCCAGGACATTTAGGGCGGCATCTTGCATAGATGTCCCGAGCTGGAACCATGTGTTTTCAGTGCCCCCGCCATCCAGTGTGGCATGTAACACGAGGGCGTCGGGCTAGAACCACATGCTTTGACGTATCCAGGCCACCCATGGGGGTATTTAACATGGTGGCCCCGAATTGGAACCCTGTGTTCGTACATTTCTAGGCCGCCCGGGGGAGAGGATACCCAAGATGGTTGCATGTTGTCCCTCGTTCGGGCCGCGTGCTTACATGTGCCCATGCCGCCCAAAGGGGCATTGAACAAGGTGGCCCCGAGCTGGAGCCGCGTGCTTCCATGTGTCCAAGCCGCCCAGAGAGGTACCCACCATGGCGGCCCCAAGCTGGAACCACGTGCTGGCACATGTCCAGGCCACCCATCGATATATATATATATATATATATTATATATATATATATATATATATATATATATATATGATGTCCCCGAGATGGAAACACGCGTTGTCACTTGTCCCGGCCGCCCGGGAGGGGCATCCAACATGATTACCCCGAGCTTGAACCACGTGCCCCCAGCGTGTGGAGGCCCACAGAAGCCAAACAAACAAATGTGTCGGCATCTTACGTGCAATAATCTGACACGGTTTCTCGGGCTGGTGATTATCCAGGTTTTCTTGTGGGGCTTTCAGTGCCCCAGCCACCCACGTTGATATCGAACATGGTGGTCCCGCTCTGGAACCAGGTGTTTGCACGCGTCCAGGCCATTTAGGACGGTATATAAAACGTATGCCCCGAGCTGGAACCATGTATTGTCACGTGTCCAGGCCGCCCAGGGGGGGGTATCTGATACGGTTGTCCCGAGCTGGAACTTCGTCTTCACGCGTCCAGGCTACACAGGGAGATGTCTAACATTTGGCCGTTTGGCTCTATGCCTGGGTGTCTCGAGCGAGGGCTGCGGACGTGAATCGGACCTTGAGGTCGAGCTGGTCGATCGCCCCGCGAGCTTCGATTGCAACTAACCCTATCTATGCGTTCAGAAATCTTGAGCTGAAGGTCCAAATTAGTTCGGTCAGGATTCTGACGCCAAGAACGGCTTGACCCACAATGCAATAGCGCACGGTTCACTTCAACGCGGTTTCTCCCCTGGCGCGTCTCTTGGCCTATCCATTGGCACGTTCCGTGGCGCGTCCCTGGCACGTCGCTATGCGGCGCGGCAAAGCGCAGAGCAGCACAACACAGCCCTTGGCAGAGTATCATGATCATTGATATGTCCAGCACTGCCACAGCCCATGGCCCAATTGAGGTGCTCGGAAGCGTTCCCATGCCTCGCAGTTCTAAATCCCTTTTCCGGGTTCGTGGGTCGATCATGTTCTGGAGGGCCCTTCGGGGAATAACCCATCGATTTCGATTTGTTAATGTTGGTTTTGGTTGTGGTCGATTCGGCCGCCCTGGGATGCCACATCCACCACAACCAGTACGAAATTGGTTTCGGTGTCCCCACAGTCTTGGCATGCGTGAAACATCCCCCCGGGTAATTCCTCGATGTTGTTGTGGTCGTTTGCTGTCCCCGCAGGTTCGACGGGGTCAAGGACAAGTTCGCCAGGCTCGAAGAATAATCAGAAGAGCAAGAGGTCATGATAATGATGCGTTCCAGTATTTCCAAGAGTTTCAGATGTTCCACAGGGGCTGCAGAAACCAGGGCTGCCATATAGTTTGGGAATCCTGAAACAAGTCCTTTGCCAAAATTATCATGGCATCATTCGATACCAAGAGGAAAAAGAGCGCACAACACACAACCGTTCGGAGGTCCGCGTGGATTTCTTGGGTCGGCGCTGGCCCCCCCTCATTGGCGCGAGGAGCGCGCCAGGGGCGGCGACGGAGACGGCCGCCAGGCGGGTCCAGCGCCGATCCAAGAAGTCCGCGCCGAGCTCCGAGCGTTTATGCTCATGCATCATTCATGCTCGGCTACAGGTTCCTGGTGTTCTGGGTCGCCCAGGGCGTCTGGGTGATGCTCATATCGATGCCAGTCCTCTTCGTCAACGCGGCGCCCTGGGGGTGCGGGACGGCGTGCTGCTGGCGGGTTTCGCCTGCGGCATCGCGACGGAGGTGGTGGCGGACCTGCAGAAGGCTGTGTGGGTGAAGGCCGGCAGGCCCGGCTCCTTCTGCCAAATTGGCATCCTCGAGTCAGAATGTTCCGCGTAGACATATTTTTTCTGAGTTTCGCGCGTTGTGCTTGGATCTGCGCTGGGCCCCCCTGACAGCGCCACCCCTGGCGCGCTCCGCGCGCAGGGGAGGGGGGCCTGGCGTCCGATCTAAGGAATCCGCGCGGAGGTCCGACAATTTATGTTTGTGCAGTTTCTTCTTATTCCGCATCTGGAGATTTTCCCGCCACCCGAATTATTTTGGCGAGATTTTGCAGTGGTGGTGCATGTGGGCCTTCGCGTTCTCCAGCGGCACCGGATTCGGCGACCTGCTGTGGTGGGCATGCAGTGTGTCCCCCCTGTTCACGATGCACATCCTCCTCAACGTGAAGCCGACCGGCATCTACAACGCTGAGGGGCAAAACCTCGCGCGCTACTACGAGAAGTGCCCCGAAGAGTACCGCAGGTACAGGGAGAACACTTCGGTCCTGATTCCGATGTTCGGCTACCGTTACATTCCGATGGTGGTGAAGCGATTGATCCTTTGTGAATTTTCCAAGTATGAGTTCGAGACACCATTCCTGCAAAGCCAGTGAGACCTCCGACATGCAGCCCCCCCGCGACGTACCGCGTCCGGGCAGTCGTCCGAAAGTCCTGCCCGCCTTCCCCGCTTGCGCCCGCTTGTTCTGTAACGGCATCACCTTGTGGTGGGGCATTCGTCGGTGAATTGGAATGCTTCCGCCCTTCGGTCGGTTGCCCCCCCTCGGGTCGGCTGAAGGGGGGGGTCCTTGAAAGGGAGGCCATGATGAGGTCTCTTACGTGCAGCCGGTTTCGGCTCCGCCGCCTCGCGCTTTCCTGGATACATGGCCGCCTCTGGCGCCACGAGGCGCCAAGAGAACCACCTACGCCAGCTTTTTCGTTGACTCTCTCCTCTGCTATCCCCTCCTTTCGTCCGACCTGGACCTCTCGACCTCGCAGCGTTCTCGGCAGCCGACCCCTTCGGCCATCTGCAGCCCGAAAAGGGCGGGCGGAGCTGGCGGCGCGCAGATGCCCTCGCTGTTGCCGGGTGCCTCGGGTCAGAACCAACGTCTGGAGCAGTTGCGTTGCGACCTGGCTTGCCCATAGGCCCACCAAAGAATGTTCTAAGATCCTTCAGCGGTTTGCATGACATGCTCTTGAACATGTTTGGCTGAGACTGTCTTGTTTTCGTGCATCGGCTTTTTGTTCTAAGAGCATCGCTTTTTTTTTTTTTCCTTCGAATAGGTTTTGGCTATGAGAACACTTCGTGATAGGCCTATAGGAATGCCAGGGTGATCGGTCCCTGCTCAAACGGATAGGCACCGGGGGGACGCATCAACCCCCCAATTGCCCACTCATCGCAGATGGGGTCCTGGTAGCCCGCCCCGCCCAGGAACGGCGTGATTCGCTCTTGGAGGCCTATCGCCGATTACCAGCGATGCTTTTCTGATGTCAGGTCGATGGTGCCCCGGTGAGCCCGTCCTCCCAAAAATCGCTGCCCTCCGTGTTTCCAGCTCGAGGAGGGCGAAGTGACGACAAGCATATGCCCTCGATATTGCTGGGCGCTTCGGGAAGGGACAGTCAGGTCTGCGGCGCCCTCGTCGAGGGCCGTTTTTCTTCCCTACCCCGGCTCGGCCGCCGCGTAACGAGGCGAGTCCCGGCAAACCTGGCGTGGCGGAGGGCCCGCCACCGGCGGGCAGTTCAGGCTGTCCCTCCGTGCTCACAGCGTCACGCTGCCCAGATGGGAACAACAAAAAACATCCTGGCCGCGGCGGCAGTCATACTTCGAATCAGAAAAGAAGCGTGTAAGCATACACTTTCGGAGTTCCGCGCGAAGTTTTTGGATCGACGCCAGGCCCGCCTGGCGTCGCCTCCGGCGCCGTTCCTGACGCGCTCCGCGCGCAAGGGGGGGGTCATCGCTGATCCAAGAAATCGACGCATCCGTAGCCACTTTGGCTAAAGCCATTGTTTGGGCTCAAGTAACACATTTGTCGAGGCAGCTGGCCAGTTCAGCGCGTGGCCCGTCCTCGCAGCCCACCACACAAGAGGTGGGACCACATTTCCGGCATCCGACTCATTCTGTTATCCGGGGGTGGACAGAAACCCCCAACAGTGACACGTGGATTAGTGAATTGTCCTTTTTTCGGTTCTCGTGAGAGCGCCGTGGCCGTTATTTTCCAGGCTTGCGCCACTTGCGCCCGCCAGGTTTGGGCCTCAGGTCGTTTTCGCTACACCACGTTTTGCTAAAGGGGGGTCTGTCCATCCCCGAGTTCACCGTCGGCCGCGGCAGGCCACCTCTTTGTCGCCTCCACTTGCCGACTCGGGAGGGAGGAAACACCGCTCGCGCTACGAGGATGACAACGAACATCGCGGGGGACACCGTCGCAATCGTGACCCATTTCCCGTCTCGCAGCCGTTCCTTTTTTTCAAGCGACACGCAATATTTCGAAGGAGCATGGCAATACGACCACGAAATTCGATCATACCATCGGGAATCTGGAAAGTTTGACTCAGGCCGTGGCGAACCAGGCTCAGGATGTCCAAACGATTCGTGGCGCTTGCAAGCTCTCGATTGAACGATGCTCGCCACTATCTGACCAGATGAACATGCTCGGCAGAGAAGTTCACGCAACTCACCAGGAGCTCCGATGATTTGTCCCCACCTCGGCTCCCGACATGGACCTCCAGATGCGGAAGTTGCATCAGGACGTTGTGGATGGTGCGATCACTATCAGTGCTGATCACATTGACACAGACGGAATACCATCGACGTTACATTCGACGTTCGAGAAATTGGAGGCTTCGCTTGCCGTCCTCCCCTCTCGTCATTGCATCCCTGAGAAGCAGCTCGCAGACATGGCCTCGACACCTACCCGTGGGTCTCGCTCGCCAAAGTCACTGCATGCTGATATTCTTCGGGGTAAAATCAAGCTTCAAGACCAGACATGTACATGGGTTATCTTGGGGGTCAATCGAAAGATGCTCGTCAAGGACCTCCGCCACATCGGCAAAACCCGTGGCGCCGCTTTTGCTCCGAGCTCTGACACGAACAAGATTGTCGCGCGGGCTTTCGGCATGAGCATGAAAGAACCCCCCTTCCACTTCGAGACCCCGACGGCAGCAGGAACATGCCTTGCCAACTTCCCTGCGAAGAACGCGACGTGGGACTACCCAGACCCGGCGAACTCGTCGGCCAACAATCCATCATGGAGACTTCACCGAAACAAAAATCCCAGCTGCCGCCAATTGCTTATGTCCCTCGGCAAAGTTGGCAGCCGCGTTTCCGACCTGGTCAGTGAGAAAGGATTGGAAGTAGGCGCATCGGGCCTCGGCGGCAGTGTCTATGTGCGACGCGGTCCGCGCGACCTCGCGCAAGTGGCCGCTGTTTCGGTCTACGGTCAAGGAAACGTCACCTGCTGTCTCGACCGCGACGCTCTGCTTGAGTTCGGCATCGCACAACGTGCAGCCTGTATAGAATCAGCATCGCAGGTGCAGCTTCAACGTTCCTTTCGACTTTGAAGCGGACTGCCCGCTCGCGCTTGCAGTTCCACCCCCTTTCCTCACTTCCCGGGCTGAATACGCACGTATGGGAGTGTTTATTTCCCGAGTTCTTTCTTTCTGCTTGCACGTAAAACTGTCAGGTTTTGATGGCGTCATCGCATACTTCGAGTAAGGTGGCCACATCAAGATACGGCATGCACGCGCAAACTGTTCAGAACCATATCACATTTTTGCACGCGAGAGACACGCCGCCTGATTGTCGATGTTCACGAATTGGAGCGGGGCCCCCCGCGCGCACGATTCCGGCGTCTCTTTCATCGACTCCAACCGCGAAGGTGGGCGATTACTCAAATGTCTGCTCACCTCGCCCGCTGTTTCGCTGAAGTGCGGCATGAGGGGATCTTTCAAGGGGGAATGTTCAAAACCATCCTTTATGGTCCTCTTGGGGGCCTCGTCGTTTGCGACGTCCACTTCCCAAAGGCCAGCGACCGCGCGCCGCTTGTCAGAGGAGCATTGTCCGTGCTCAGAAAGTAAATGCGACTTCGTTTTCCTGGCGGCGATGGGCAGCATGCGCATTGTCTGCTGCTCGGAGATTTCAACTTTGCAGGCGAGGGCGAAGGTCGCGGGCGCTGCAATTGCGGCGCGTTTCCCCTCGGGGGCGCCGCCCGCCCCCGCTTCGCATGACAAGTTCTTCCCCGTGGCGACTGCAATCCTCCAGGGCCAGAACGCTCGCAGAGGCAGGCGAGGGAATGAGGTATCGTCTACTTCTCGTATCGATCGGGTGCACACCTCCCTTCCACCTGGCCCCCTTCGTGACCTTGCCGTTCGGGCTCGCGCGGTCGGTTCGATCGAGTCGTCGATGCGCAGTGGCCTCGCCCCTGCCGTCGCCACTCTTACCCCGTTTAGGCTCTCGGCGGACTCCAGGGCGATTGCCCCGCGGGTTCCCGCCCTGCCTGCATATCGCGCGGCCCTCGATGGCCTGCTGCAGCAGTTCCCCTCTGGGTTGGGCCCTTGGAATAAGCCAGAACATGCGAAGGGTTGCTTCTATTGGGCCGCTGCGGCTGCTCAGGCTGCCATGCGGTCCCGCGAGGCGACTGCCCTGCAGGAGCGCCGCTAGCGCGCGCCGGCAGCCCCCCGCTCTGTTCGTCAGGGCGCGCGTCGCCGACGGGGGCGGGCTCTTCAGTGCTGCCCGGGGATCCGCGCGCACTCCTGCCCCGACTTGTCTGTTTGTAGCCGCGTCGACGGGTTGCGCGAGCATGCGCAGGCACGATTAAACAGGAGTCTCGTGGAGGAGGAGGATATTAAGGAGTTGGGGATTGAAAAGGAACAGGCATGGGTTTTGCTTTCCCGCAGCGCTCGGCGCAAAGAGCTCCCGCGACGTTCTCGGCGACGGACTTTTATCGCGGGCGTCAATGGCGACGGCGGGCGCCCGATTGAAACGACCCAGGCCCAGGCCGAGGCCCGTCGGGGCCGCCGGAGT